GGATCAAGTGCGAGATCCGATACTGATGTGCGGCTCTCGTGTCATAGATCTTCAATTCCTGTTCAATTCAGCCTGAGGACTCGCAGACTAATGATTGACAGTTTTCGTCGAGCACATTCATGAAAGCAGTGTTTTCGATGCCCCATTTTCCCAGGGCGCCCGTGAAAACTTGTCTCAGGCGTGGCCGCCGCGTGGATGTGGCCTATCGTGAATGGTTTTTTGTTCAGGAGGAAATTGAGTCCCTCTCCTAGGCTCTGAGACTCGGATACAGAGGGTTTGAAAACCCCGTGGGTCGCGTCGAGTTCGACGAGTGATCATGGAGTCGAATCCCCTTGAACGCCGTTCGATTCGGCTTCCAGGGATGCACTCTGATTTGACGAATTTTCTTCTTCGGTCTTTTGAATGTGAACATATGTACTTGAGTACTTGCTGGTCTTACTTGGATGGAGAGCCGAAGTAACTTTGGTTGAAGGAGAAATTGCAAGAAACATGTTGATCCCCTCGAGTTGGCTAGCCCCGAGCCCTCCTCCTTCTTCTCTAGCTGCTCTAGACGTCCACGGATCTGGTGGTTGAAGTCGTATGTGGCTTGATTCCGCGGGCTCATCGCAACGAAGCGGAGGAAGTTAGGCCCTTGCTAGGGTCCTGGACTCAACTGGAGGGTTGATGATACCAACACAGTCGTCCCGTCGGCGCTCGGTCAAAGCAACCTTTGAGCGCCGTTCGATTCGGCTGCCGGGGATGGGCAGGTAAGAGGAAAATTTTGACCATGGTTGCTTTCTATGTAAGTATTCACTTATGTAAGTATTCACTTGCGTGACTCAGAGTCCAGTCGTCCGCGGCTTAAGATAGCTGAGGGAGTGAATATTATCCAGCCACAGATCCCATACTCACAGGTATGCAACCCAGACCGAGCGCCAGCGCTTGAATGGATTAATATTCCTGTTCGATCCAGGCCTCGCGCACTAGTTAACGTTCACACCTGAGCATATTTTTTGAGCCTCATATCAAAGTATCAGCCAGCCATCTCGAGCCATCCAAAGTTCAACATTTTCGCGGGCCACCCATGATTTGTCAATCGCCTGTAGTCAGCGGCTAGTGTTCCGAACGATCGCGATCATTTACCCACTTGTCCCCGACGATCAACCACTCACCCACTTTCTCCCGTTGGGCGGCATGGTATAAAAGCCCCTCAAACCCGCAGGTGAATGTATGCCCAGTTATTGAAACCCGCTCTCTCTCAAATGTCTACCAGCAAAATCATCCTCGTCACCGGCTCCAACACCGGCATCGGTTACAGCCTCGTCGAGCTCCTCGCTGCCAGGGGCCACACTGTGTATCTGGCGTCGCGTGGCGAGGCTGCGGGCCTCGAATCCGTGTACGTTTGCCTTGCTCCTCCCCGAAACGAGACTGAGGATTTTGTGTAGCGCGAAACTCAAGCAGGAGAAGAACCTTGATGTCAAGTTTGTTCAGCTTGATGTCACCGACGACACCTCGATCAAGGCCGCCGTCTCGACGATCGAGAAGGCGGAGGGCAAGCTGGACGTGCTCGTCAACAATGCCGGTGAGTCTTACTCCCTTGTATCTGCCGCTATGAATTCTGATAATTCTCCGTGCTAAGGCGCCGCCAGCATGAACAAACCCCACAGCGCCTCCAAGCCCAACTTCGAGGCCCTCGAAATCACCTTGGCCACCAACCTCTTCGGTCTAATCCGCACGACGACTGCCTTCCTCCCCCTCATCCGCGCCGCCCACAGCGCCTCCTCCCCCTCAGTCATCCTGAACGTCACCTCAGACATGGCATCCAACGGGTTGATGGCCCAAATCCCCAAGAATTTCTTGCATGATTTCGTGGCCTACAACACGAGCAAGGCTGCTGCCAACTCGTACACGGTCGGGCTCGCCAAGGATCTCGAGGCGGAGGGAATTAGAGTGAATACCGCCACGCCTGGGTTCACGACGACCAAGTTAAATGGGTTCGCGGAGGGGGGTAAGACGAGTGAACAGGCTGCGGCGATTCTGTTACCTTGGGCGCTTTTGGACAAGGATGGGCCGACTGGTCGGTTTGCGAAGGAGGGGGGCGAGTCTGAGTGGTAGATAGACTAAATCCTGAATGTAATTTTAATCTTCGATTGCGCTCTAAATTTGTTGCATTTTCGCAGCCCAGGCTGTTGAGTTCATCCATTAGCGTTCCCCATTTCGAACGCCGTTAACCGTTCGACTCGGTCCCGGGTCTGGAGGACTGAACTGCGCGACCACCATACTTTTTGAGTCTGTCCTCAATACAGTTTGGGAGTCTGTGGAATTATTCTGTTGGGGTTAAATGCTGCTTTGCGGTGATATTCCCGGCTTGAAATTATTCCACTCAGCACAGAATATGTTGAGCTGTGCTGTTCGATTCGGGCCACTTATACTTAATACTCGTCGAGACTCAACCAGGATATATGTTTTCCCCTCAAATAATTCACTTGCACCCAAGTTGCACCTATGTATGCAGCCTGCGCTGTGCGCCGCTAATTGATTGTCACCACGAAGCGATGATGGCGGCAGATCTCAATGACGTCGCAGCGCGCTTCTGAGTCTGACCACCACGACCACTCACGACCACTACCAACCAGTCCCTCCATCCGGCGCTCTATTTTTTCCAACTCCCACAGGAGATCCTTTTGCATCTTGCCTGTGTTTTCTGCCCGCTCTTCACATGTTCCGGCGTAGCTTCGGTGACTACCACAGACTCCGCTTCGGCGCTTCCCCGCGTCAGCTGATCTGGGGTACGTGTGGTGAAAAGATGGATGAATGCCAGCCAAGCACTTGCCATATAAAAACGGCTCGCCCACCTTGTGCCCCGTCGTGGCTCTTCTCGCTCTCCCCTGGTAACCGCTATGGCTCGCTTCAGCTCCTTGTTCTTTGGCCTCTTGGTCACGGTCCTCGTCAACGCTGCTCCGGCGCCCGAGCTCACTGCCGCGTCCGCAGCGTCTCTGAGCCCTAGCAACCTCTTGGGCGAGATCATCGACGCCCTGGGCGTCGGTCTGGTTACTCAGATTAACACCACGATCACGGTGAGGCGTCTTCGCTGCATCCTGCCCTGTATACTCAGAATCATCCGATTAGCTTGACTCTCTTACCACCAACCTGGTTTCGTGAGCATCCACACACGCTCTTCTTCATCATTCCCCTCTGACACGCGTGTGGGCCAGCGTGGATGTGGAACGTGCGTTTGTTCCTTGTCTATATCTCCGAAGTCCGCTCACAGCCTACAGTCCAGAACCCCCTTCCCTTCGAGCTCACGCTCGACACCGTGGCCTCCACCGCGGGCATCAACGGCACTGTCTTTGCCTCGTTCAACCACACCTTCTCCACCGGCATCGTCGTCCCGCCCTTTGGCAAGGCCAAGACGGGAGTCATCGACAATGTGCTGCTCACCCAAGGCGCGATCGCCTCGCTCGCCATCATACCCCTTGGGTTCCTCGACTTGCTTGAGATTGACACCAACATCCGGTACGTGGTTGACCCGTTAAATGAAGGCCGCTGACGAGATGTAGGGCGCTGACTATCGACGGATTCCTTGGGATTCCGCTGACGATCTCCGACTTGCACCAGACGAATGTATCTACTCTGTGTGTAGCTCTCTTTCTTTCTGAATCTCGCTGACGCTTCGCTAGGTACACTTTGGATCTCTCCTGAGCGTGGTCGTGGACTGGGTCTTGTACAATTCACATGTGTTGATCGTTGACATGTGAAATGGCTGTTTATTTCCGGCTTGCCAATCAAGCTATGCAGTACGATCAGGTGTTCAGGTCAAGAGACCTGTCGGGCGTTTGACTGTCGTGAGTATCGTTACGAGTCAGAGATCCTGTTGGTTGACTGCCATAATATATACGAAGTCCGGAATACATCTACTTAGATATTGAGAAGAGCGGTGTGTAATTGTTAGTACTTATTCGCACTCAACGCTGAAGACCCCAGGCGTGAATCGTGATATCCTTGTTCGATAATCGATTCGAGGTTCGTTACTGCGAAATTGGCCACCAATGTGTTTTTGTCGAATTCTACCCCAGAGGTAAAGGCGTCTGTGTCCACAACGAGACAGCACAGGACTAAGAGCTAATATAAGATCCTCCCCAGTTCAGCTTCCACGTGGATAGCCCTGTTCGATTCGGGGGTTGCTCGTTTGCGACACACATGGTCCGCGCTCAGCTTTTTGTTGGTCGAACAGTCTGATAGTCGCGACCCTGTATCGGACTGCTGGGCGCCGGTGCAAATATAGCAAGTACGGCAGCACTACTGGATTTCCCAAGTAGCTGTTGACCCAGATAAGTGATAACAAGTACGGTGGCTAGACGCATTAATGTGTCATAACACCCTCGCGCATACGATGGGTACAGAACAAGCCAAGTACATACATTAGTTGGCCGACCGAGGGTTCCATCTCAGCTTGCCGCCGTTCGACTCGGCTTCGAGATTTGTTGGAGCTATGAACTTGCCGAAATTTTCCTTTTCCCGTCTTTTGAAGACCACGATGCATTCGACGTCCAAGCGGTTAATTGGAGGTACTCATTTTCTGTTGACTAATCTAAGAGGTATTGGGCATCAGCAGGTTTGCAGCAGGTGCTAAGTATTCTACCTAGGAGTTGACTCGTATCGGCGCGCAGACTCTATGCACCAAGTTCAATATTTATTCTTTCTCCGCGACGTTGATTTCAATTGTGAAGTTGCTCACCTGATACCGACTCCGTATGAATTTTCGCCGCGATTGTCTCCTCAGTACTATTGCCAATGTGGCGCTCGAGCACTTGAGACTAAGCCAGGAGCTCGTTGGAACTTGGAACTCCGTCGGTTCGAAATCGCCGTTCATATTCAAAGACTTTACCCTCCAGGCCCTTCGATTCGGCTGCAAGGAATGCCGTAGCTCATCAAGGGCCATTCAAATTTGTGTCTACCTGAATGACGGAATGCGAAGAGTTTAAGAGCGAAAAGGTGTGGCCACAGAAGCCAAAAAACAATGGACACATTGGGAATTGAACCCAACACCTCTCGCATTCCCAAGTCACGTGACCGTGTACTGCTAAGCGAGCGTGATAACCAACTACACCATGTGCCCGACGAAGAGGGAGCTTTGGAGCACATCTCGTCTCGGCGTATATTTGATTCTACCTCACTCGCTTTCTTCAGTGTATGCGATCATCCCATTCAATTCTCCAAGCAAGTGGTCCCATTAACGCGAAACTAAGATAATAATACATGCAATGGAATAACTACAAAAGACTATAGGAAAAGAACGGAAATCGTGCGAGGGTATGTCGTGCAAAAATGGGTAAATAGTACAGAGGAAAAAAGTGTGTGCAACGAAATCCGTGTGTGAAAAAAATTAAGGAAAGGAAAGCACACTATGGTGTCAAGTTGAAAGTGAACTCCAACGGACTGTGGTCGAGCGGGGCGGTAATGACTGGCGGCAAGTCGACCACAAACTCTTCATCGTCCTCGGCCACATCTTCAAGCGGCGTGGGATCGTCCATGTGGAACGGCGGCTCGTCCTCCCCATCCTCGGCGACCTCTTCGCCCTCCTCTTCGCCCTCCTCTCCCTCACCCTCAGCATCCACCTCGGTCTCGCCAAAGATGACGTGGAACTAGAATCACATCGTCAGTGTCAGGCTTCCATTAGAGGAAATCGAGGCTTACATGAGTGATCATGGCCTTGACCAGTTTGTGAGTGTGCCCCATATTCGCAAGAATCATGGCAAAGTTCTCCTGGGGCGCGCGGAGCAGGTTCGGGCTAAAGACGATCGCGAGTCCCTCGACGGTCATTTGATTGTACTCCTCGAAATCGGCGACCCTAAAACTCATTCAGCGGGATTCTGGTCACGACAGACTTGGCGTACCGATCCAGGTGCTCCGCGACACGCTTGAGGAGATCAAAGTTGGGACGCGGGAGACCATACACGACGGTGCGGATGGCAGCTAGACGTTCCTCCAGGTTCTCGATATCTACCCGGATTCGTCAGAACACAGAAACGATCCACGGCGAATACTAACGGCTCGTCTCAATCACAGCGTGGTAGTCGGCGGAGGGGAAGAGTGGCTCGGGAAGGACACGGAACCAGGACTTGATGAGGTCGCACACTGCATGTATATCCGTTGTCGTGTCCAGTGGGTCCTCGCCTAAGAAGATTCAGGACCGATTCACAGGTAAAGATGAAGAACATACCTCGATTAAAGGCTTCCTTGAGGGCGTTGATGACGGAAGTCGCGCCAGCGAGACGATCTGCAAACGAGTGAGGAGAGAGCAAGGACCCCGGAGAGGCACTTACATATTCCGACCTCCATCAAACCCCGGTCTTCGATTTCCGATAAACAACGCTCGATAATCGAAGGAAGAGTGCCCGCGGGAATGTCGTCGCTTCCCACCTCGCGTCGTAAAAGGACATTAAGGTCAACACCAAAGACTGGAACACATCAGAGCACGTCTACGATCCAGAAGAGAGACATACCAGCAGAAGGATCACGCGATGTAGCCATCGTCCCGTCGTGCAGATGGTCCGCAAGCTGCGGCTTGGGGCCCAGGTAGGTCAGTCGCCGCCGCGCCGTCGTCTGAGTGACACGGTTGATGGTATCGAGCCATCTCGTCATCTCCCGCTTGTTGACCGCTTGGAGAATGTAGTGCCCGCCATCCTCCGTATCGAGCTGGAAGACAAAAGCCCGATCGTTGTTGATGAACTGCATGATTCGGGCTTCGACGAGAGACACCGTGAGCGTAGGCTTCCCGGTGGGAACAAAGTCCAGCTCCTCCGCAGTCCGCTTCACGCCAGGCGAGTGCAGGATTTCGTTCCCAAAAGCGCTTGAAATCGGGCGCATGAACTGCATGAACGCCGACGACATACTCTTCTTGCCCCGTTGATGCTTCTGCTGCTGCGGCGTCGCCGGTTTGCGCATGGCCTTGTTCATGAGGTCCTCACGCTTCTCGTTCTTGGTCTGCTCTTGGACGCGCTCCTTGTGCAGACGAGAACGAATCGTGCGATCGCGCCGGTTCTTCTCGATCTGCGCGGTCACAATCCTCTGGAACGGCCGCACAGTCCGCCGGGTCGCAGCAGGTGAGCTACCCGGACCCGATGCCCCTTCTCGCTGAGCCTCGTCCTTGATGCTCCGGTGGTCGAATTGGAGCTGCCACACCCCCTTCTCGATGTTATTCAAACGCTCAAACGCCCGGCGAGTGTTGTCTTCGCGATGAGAACCCTTGTGCACGCCGAGAATGAGGTGACACAGATGCCTAGTCAAGAGATTAGTTCTGAATAAACGAGCAGACAAGAGACTTGCCTCCGTTTGTCAAAGTTGATGAGATTGTGTGCCTCCGGCTGCGCCCCTGGCGATTCAATAACGTCAGGCGCCGCAATGACCTCCAGCAGCCGCTCCAAGAACCACCCCACATCGAGGGTAAGCTCTCTCGAAACGACCGACTGCGTAGAATGTACGCTGAGAAGCGACACGAGCGAATCACACTGAGCTCCACGGGTACCAGCGATATTCTGCCATGGTCGATGGTGCATCCGACTCTCGACGCTGATTACGGCACTAGTAAGCACAGCCTCCACGAAGGAACGCGCACAGGGATCGTCGACGATGGACGGAGGCTTCGTTCTGGACATGTTTCGCAGCCGAGTAACCTCAATCGCGCGAAGTATGAGCTCCATGCGCGATTGTCTGGCTCGAAGACCCAGCCGAGGAGCGACGAGCTGCGCAATCGTCCACTTGCGAAGAATGACATAGGCGCGTATACAGCTCCGGATACCAGGAGGTAACAATCGGTACAACGAGTCCTGCGACTCGCTGATAAGTGGCGAAGGCTCGATCTCCTGCAGATACGAGTACATGTTCTGCACTTCGACAGACTCCTCGCTGGGCGCAAAGGGGAGGAACCACCCAATGCGGTCTGCCGTCTGTACTTCAAGAAGATCGGAAGTGACAAAGAGGTCCTGGAAAAAGATCAGAGGAGGCTGAAATAGACCAAAAGACGACGCACCTCCTCTGTAACGTTGCTGAAAGCCGCGTACGCCATAGCGTCAAGATTGTCAACGAGCTCCTCGGGGTCGATACGATCAATATCAGGTGGCTCCCGAGACTGATTCTTCGGCCGCTGACCACTTGCAGAAGCCGCAGGCGGGGTCAGCGTCGTAAAGGGAGCAGGCGGCCGCATGGTTTGGGACTCGAATGTCCGCCTTAACCTCGCGCGCACCTCTGCCAACGTGCTCCAGGCTTGCTCGACCGAAGGATCAGAGGCATTGGGCGAAGACGGAATGGCGTGGTCGATCGAGTCTTTCAAGAACGCGCGCACTGCGGAGAACAACTGCGAATCATCGAGCATGTCTTGTGCACCACCGCCTCGTATGATCCACGTCTCAATGGTATCCAAGACCTCCGTGCGACTTCCAGCGACGTAGAGGAACTCGGCAACAGAGGGAACAGCGCCTCGCGGCCGCGTCTGGAGGTACATCTTGCGCAGCAACTCGAAGAACACCATAGGCGTCACCAGACTGCGAAAGACGTTCCACCAAAGTTTCGTAAACTCCGTCTTGTCAATGACGAGCTCACGTGTCCTGCCCTCCCTCAGCGACATCTCCCCGTTATCGTCAGTGATGGAAACCGAGACGCCTTGTAACCCGTGGGCCAGTATGTCCACAAGCCAATTGAGTGTTCCTGCGACAACGCGCACCCGCAGCGGCGGCTCGGATGACGGCTCGGCCGCGATAAATGCACGACGTTGTGCAGGTGACGGTAGCGAGCTGCGACGGGCCAGACTTGTCTTCCTATCGAGACCCGCGGAAGAGCCTGTCTTGACTCGTACGGACGGGGCGCGGCTGATGGAACCTTCCACACTGAAACTATCCCCGACAACTGAGCTCGGAGGCCGTGAAGGAATCCGGGATGAAGGACGGGAGCTGGCTGTCGAGTCTCCCGTGCCTTGCCATACGCTCAGCAAGCCCTCGCCATTGGCCACGGGAATGATAGTGCCGTTCCCCATCTGCTCGAGACCCGCAAGGAGGCCTGTCCGAGGCAGCTGTTGTTGTGTGGGCTCCAAGCGACGTACACGCGCCTCTCCATCGCTATCGACTCGTCCTCGAAGAAGTTGTGCGCGGTCCACGAGCGCGGTGGAAGGGAGAACTTCCGGAAAGAGAAGTGGGAGGAGCGAAGAGTATGGTGCCGCACTGCCCGCGCGCGTCCAGTAGTGCGGTTCAAAGAGGCCCTTCCTTCGCGGTTCGGAAGCGAGCGAAAGCGCCATGAATTGATCGACCCTGAAGGATGGAGGGTAAGCGGAAGGAAGTGAATGCAGCATGTCAATTTACCGAACGAAAGCCGCGAAAGCCCCGCCCGCGCCCTCCACACACCGGGCTCTCCAAAACCCGACCAAAAGTTTGACATCTTCTCCCTCATCCTCGAGGATCGATCCCCGCCTCGGACAAAGCAGAAACTCCCTACGGAAATCCTCGAATACATCCCGGGCACGCTCCATGGGACCGACATGGAACGTCTGCTCCGTGCCATCAACCTCCACTCCACGGGCAGCATCGACCTCAACTCGCAGCCGTTCCCTGACGTCTCCTCCCCACAACGTCAGCCGTCCCTCACCACTTGGACCCTCTCCTTCCGCCAACAGCCTCGCCCATCCCTCCACAGCCACCCTCGCAGCTGCCTCGACCCGCCTCCACACCTTCTCCAAACGCGCAATCGGCGCAGAACACAACGCAGCCGAGATGGCCCCAAAGCTGAGATTATCCCCCTCCACACGACAAATCTCCCCAACGCGCACCCAGATCGATATCACCTCACTCCGCGAATGTGTCCTGGACGTCCCCGAAGCCTCGCCAGAGCCATCACTGCCAAGCACCTGCCCAAGGACCAAACGCGTGAGCCAGTTCGGGGAAGCATCGCTACCAAACAGCTGCTCGCACGCTCGCACGTCACCAAGCAAGAAATCGACTGTAAGATCGCCAGGCGCCTCGGCGAGTACGGCGCGGTGGAAGATGGTGAGACTATGTGCGATGAGGTGGGGATCAAGAGAATGCAGGAGGTCGCGGGAAAGACCTTCCGCCTCGAGACGTGTGGCCAACC